GGAGTAGTCATATCCTATGGCTATTAGGTTTTGTATGGTTATTTAATTATTTTTCAGAATTGAAGTCCACTTCTTTTCTGAATTAGAATTCATTTCCTGTTTGATATTTATTTTTAGCTTCTTTTTTTTTTTTTTTTTTTTTTTTTTTTTTTTTTTTTTTTGGGACTTGTCGTTTATCCTTCAAGTTTCAGCTATTAGGCTATAAAAGCCTTCTTTTTGTGCTTTTTTTTTTAAAAAAAAAAAAAAAAAACAAGCAGAATAATAATATCATTGGATACAACTTTTGATAATTTTTCTCTCAACTCTTGACTCTTGTGATTATCTTAGAATTTTGTGTTATCTGTATCCTTAGATTGATTTGATCAATATTAGCTTGAGTTGTAATGATTTTTAAACCTTGCCAAAATCTACTAAAGTTAGGGTTTGTTGGGACAATTAGTTTTGGTTTAAGGGTTTATTATTACAGATTGATTGTTTGTCTTCACAAATTCAATGTCAATCTGTCCATTTTTGTATCACCCAAAACCTTATGGTGGACGAAGGCCAAAGCTTTATTACATACGAAACTTATCATTAGTCCAAATTATTTATTATGTAATTTGGACTCATTTAAAAACTAAGAAAAATAACATGGATTAGTGTAATAAATTAACTAAATTCTTATGGATAAATTAACCATATAAACATGATAATATTCTTGAAGTTTTTTTAATTTTTTTTTCTGGTCAATGTTTAGTATTTTTGGATTAACTTGTATGCACAATAAAGCAAGCGAGGAAGGGAAAATTGTTTCGTTGGTGATGTAAGAACAAATCAACGAGAAGCGAGAAGAGGGAACTATTATTTCCTTGATGAACATGTAAGAAAAATCAACGAGAAGCAAGAAAAGGGAGAGTATTACTGTCTTCTTGGCAAAGAGGGCAGCTAGCCAGCAGCCACCTTTTACCATGGCCTCTCATCACCATAGAAAAATGAGAAGTAAACCATTTTGAAATTTAAAACCATATTTACCTAGCTCATCCTTCACGTAAAATAAAAGTCTTCTCTATCTTTGAAATCTTGCATATATAGGACCTTCATAATTTCCAATGACATACACATAAACAAAGTGAAGCCAATATCGATATGTCTGGATTACAAGCAGAAGAAGAAACTCAAAAAGCTTTTGGATGGGCAGCTAGAGACTCTTCAGGAATTTTATCTCCTTTCCATTTTACTAGAAGGCCTGTGCTGTGTTATTTCTTTTCACATATATACATTTATGTTATATGAATACATACTATGTTAATTAATTGTGTCTTATGATTCTATTAATTGGTATTTATTTATTTTTTCTTGTTATCAGGGTGAATGGAGACAACGACATTACAATCAAGATTTTATATTGTGGGATTTGCCATACTGACCTGAACATATCAAGGAATGATTTTGGATTTTCTATCTATCCTGTTGTTCCCGGGTACGCTTTCCTTTCGTTAGTTAAATTTAACCAGAGGATGAAAAAGTAGTCTTGTTATTTTATCTTTCATTAATAACATATTATCTCCCAAAATAATAAGAATAAAAAATCATTCGCAATCACAGACATGAGATGGTTGGTGTGGTGACCCAAGTTGGAAAGAAGGTAGAGAAGTTCAAAGTTGGAGACAAAGCAGGTGTGGGATGCTTGATAGGCTCGTGTGGAACATGTGAAAATTGCCAAGACGACTTGGAGAGTTACTGCTCCAAACCCAATTACGCCTACACTATTTTTTATGACGGTGGAGCCATCAATTATGGCGGATATTCTGATGTATATGTTGTTAATGAGCACTTTGCCATTCGTATTCCTGATAATCTCTCATTACAAGGTGGGGCTCCATTGCTTTGTGCTGGAATTACAGTCTTTAGCCCCCTGAAATATTTTGGGCTCGACAAGGCAGGGATGCATGTGGGTGTGGTTGGTCTTGGTGGATTAGGTCATTTGGCAGTGAAGTTTGCCAAGGCATTTGGAATGAAAGTAACTGTGATTAGTACATCTCCAAGCAAACAGGATGAAGCAACTGAGCAACTCAGAGCTGACTCGTTTATAGTTAGTCATGACATGAAGCAAATGGAGGTAATTAAGGATTAATATTTCAAGTCGATTGTTCATCTACATTTTTTGGTCAACAGTCCATTGATTTCTTTTGGAATTTTGTAGGCTGCTATTGGTACCATGAATGGTATCATAGACACTGTCTCTGCAGTGCATCCTCTGAACCTATTACTTAATCTTTTAAAAACCAACGGAAAACTAATATTGGTGGGTGCCCAAGATCCTGAAAAACCCTTGGAGGTGCCTGCTCTGCCCCTCTTTGGTAAGAAAAACCATCTGCTGTTGAAGCCTTGGAGATATCACGGCCTTTTTTCTTTATATCAATTTCTTTTCTCTAAAAATAACACTTGGAATTCCATCTGACAACAAATATTCTCATAAAATCTGTGATAAATATGTATCCAGGAAGAAAGCTAGTTTCAGGAAGCATGGCAGGAGGGATAAAGGAGACGCAAGAAATGATAGATTTTGCTGCCAAGCACAACATAGCTGCAAACGTTGAAGTTATTCCCATGGATTATGTGAACAAAGCCATGGACCGTCTTGCAAAAGGAGATGTCCGTTATCGATTTGTTATCGACATAGCAAACACCCTTCAAAGTTAGAATTATACCAGTTTTCATTAATTTTTTTTTTTCTTTTTTCTCTCAGGAATATTGTTCATTTTAATATACTATATATTTTGGGTGCAATACAGTAATAGTGTGTGAAAAGGGTTGAAAAATACTATTTTGGTCAATTCATTTCCGTGTTTTAGCTACTTGTCCTGCCTGGGAACTAAACGCACACTAAAAGGCTTAATAAACCTAATCAGAATCAGCAGCAGACAGCAAACTCTTTGAAGTCTGAACTGGATCCACTATGCGTTGCCACCGTGCACTCCTCCAGGCTTCACGTGTCACCACTTATGGCATGTCTGTGCCTCTGAGGTGGTTCTGCTGATTCCAGCCACCTAGATATGCAAACAATAGCCCTCTTCTTGGGAGCAAGCTTCTGCTGCCGCATTTCACCCAGGTGATTGTTTGTGTTCCTTTTCCTCTACTTATCGCTCGCTTAACACGACTGACCTCCATTGTCGAGGGACATGTCCATGCATCAAGAGTTAAGATATTCATGGCTATATTAGACTTCAAATTTCGAGATAGGTTTTGTGATTTAAACAATGATCAACTTTACCAATGCACAGCATACCTTTCAACGGACAAAAATAATTAAACATATGAATAAAAAATCATACTCGGGGCATAAAGGCTCAAATATTTGCTCAATTCCATAAAGTCTATGTCCGTCCCAGGCTGGTCACTTGTTATCCCAATCAGTTAACTTCTCTTGCCGACTTAAACACAAAACAGTGATTTTAGATAACACTGCCTGCCACTCACCAAACAAACTGAATTTACATTTCAGAGTTCCATCCACAATCAAAAACGTAATGAAAGATATTCTCATCTTCCACGCATTACATGTAAGTGTCAATTCCAAACAAGAAGTTTACTCTGAATAAGTTTTTGAAAACAAGTATTTGACACCTTCCATCAAACAAGGATTAATTTAAAAACAATATCCAGTGAACCTGTCATTTAACCCAAATAATAACGATAATAATAATAATTGAAAAGAGGAATAAAAAGCTCATGCTCAGGTTGCTTTATCCTCATATATGTTCAAATATTTTCTCAACACCCATGGACTCCATGTTTGCAAATTGCAAGAGACAATACCACTATCCCAAGCTAGTCGCTCATCCCATTCAACTAACTTCCCTTGCCAACTCAAGGGAAGTAAGTAAAACTGATTTTAAAAGATACTGACACACCAAGAAAACAGTAATCACAGTTCAAGTTCTTTTCACAAAGAAGATATTTCTATCTTCAACGACCGGTTTACTCTGAATAAGCTCATTCCATCAAACACTAAAGACAGATTTTAGAAGATATGGCACACGCCAAACAAACTTAACTCACAATTCATAATTCCATCCACAATCACCCATCTTTCTATACATTATGCAATTTTCCTTTTTCTTTTCTAGAAATCACACATATAATTACAATCAATTCACAATAACCTGTTTGCTTTTAATTAATTGCTCCCCAACGAGTGAGTACACCCCTTCCATCTATCTATAATGAATTCATAACTCATCTCTGTGGATGAGTGCACCAAATTCGTTCCATGCAAACCTATTCCCTATTTGGCTGGAGAATTAAGATATTGGCTTCATTTCTAGCACTACTACCCTTTCATCTATCGCTCAAAAATGTTCATACAAGGATTTGTGAGCAAATCTGGTAGGTATTTTATGATTTTCATTATTTTTTTTAGCAGGAATCATAAGGAAAAATAAAACCAAGCAGCCCAAATTCATCATTACCCAAAAGTTTAATCATGATTCCACATTAATAGAACTAGAGTCTTATTACAGTAGGTTGGACTGGTCAAAATTGAGAAAAAAGAATAGCACGTTCCATTGGGCCCAAAGTCCAATTCAGTTGAAATGGAGAAGCTCATGGTGGAATAGACAAAAGATGACAGGAAGCAAACGCTCCATTGTTTTCTACCATACTCCGCTGCTTAAGAGTTACTAAATAAATTAACAAAAAAAAATGATAGAAATACTACGCTTACGCAAGCCAATGGTTCATTTGGATATTTTCATCCCGGAAGGAAAGGATCTACAAATGCACTGTGTCATTTGAACTTGCCCTTTTCATTATCATTATTGTTTCTATACAAATGCAACCGCTAATTGAGAAAAACTTCTCATGCATGGCAATAATTTAAAAAAAAAAAAAAAAAATCATAAATAGCATATACTGAATAACACATAACAAGGAGCAGATGTAAGTCTACTGTCCTTTTTCTCCATATTTCGTGTCATAGAGGGGCATGAGCAAACATGTGGAAACATACTGTAAGGTTATCAAGGCATTTCAAGGTCTGGTCTCCTGTCAAGCACTTCTTTTGCTGATCCATCTGGAAATGCATCTGGGTAAGTTGCCAAAATTTTTGCTTTCATTCTTCTGCAAAGGAGAAGGATTAGATTCCAGACTACACCATGGTCTAGATTGAACGACGTAAATCAAAAGACACGAAAAATGAAAATGACCAAAAACAGGATGTTACTGGAAAGCACATTCTAGATGGAAGAAACAAGATCATAAATTCTGCTGCAGAATCTTCAGTCACTAATGTTCTCTATTTACCACATCATGGGGCTTGCAAGATTTCTATCTATAGTTAGGTCACCAAATTTTAGTGTATTGTTGAAGCTATGACAGAAATGGAGAAGCCCTAGTTAAGCAATCTTCACTTTTGTGATACTGGATCTCCATTTGTTCCAATAGTCTAGTCAGGTATACGAGTAAGTCATTTTTGTCTTAGAACCAAGCAAAAACAATCGAGGCAACCAATAGAATTTGCCAAGCGGATAGCCAGTACTTTCACAAACTAGGTCCTGATAAAGGCAATCCCAAAGTCCTTTCATTAATTAAGAAATGATTGTAACTTCTTAATGCAGGAAAAGAAAAAGAAATGTGAGGCCTGTTTATGTAATACCTAACTGCAAGAATGTAAGGTGCATTTTTATGTGGGGTCCGCAATACATGTTCAAAGGGAACAAGATCTGTGCCACTCAACGGGTAAGATCTAGAGCATTCTAAAATTTCCGAGAGGACTCAAATCACTTTCTGTTAATCAGATATCTGAGAAGACAATATAGGAGTTGGAATGACAAGCCAGGTCTTGATATCATATTTGGTATAGAAAATTTTCAAATCATAATGTAAGACCGAGATGATATGATGTTTTCAATATAGAGGAATTATGATTTATGAGTATAAATGAAGAAATAAAGCCGTGTTGGTTGTCATTAAGGAGTGGAGCTAGTGGTGGCAGTGGTCAAGTTTTTCCCAGACATCAAGGCACAAACATTCAAAGAGAGGAGAATTCAATATGGATAATGACGAGCTCAGTCACAAACATTTTCTTCTTTTAAGCTTTGAATTCAAACAAATTATGTGATGCGTGACATTAACCATAATGTTTTATCATAATATAAACGAAGAAGAATTGTATATGAAAACATCATCCAACTAGTAGATCGATCAAAGGCTATATATGAATCCCATTATTAAGAAGAAGGAGAAAAATAAAAACAAGTTGAGTATTGAGATATTGAAAAATCAGTAGAGCACAAACAAATGATTTAATGCTCCAAGAATAGGCCAAATTTCTGCAATCTAAATCAAAAACAACGAGAAGGAATGAATTAATTAATTGAAATGGAAACGCATACCACCTTAGCTTTTGAAAGATGTAATCTAGATCAGACTTCATGGACTTTAAGAGGCGCGTGTTTCTTGAAAAATCAGCAGAAACCTCAGTGAAACAATTCTCTGAATACTCATTAAAATGAGACAGCACTGCATTGCTGTCCTGCAACCTTCCTAATCTGTTTTAAGCCTAAAGACAGTAAATATAAAAACAGCTCAAAAAAATCAACAAAAAGAGAGAGAAAGAGAGAGAGAAGTTACATGAGGTGCTGCAACTGCTTGAGGGAATCCAAATCTTGTTCATTAATTAGGGTTTTGAACTCTCTACAGACCTCTTCTGAAGCTTCTCTCATGGATTCCTCCTCCATTACCACCTTCCTACCTACTAATTCACAGTGATCGAAATGCCCTTCGGGTTTTCCGCTGGCTTGCTTCCCAGATTACCCGTAGTCGCTTTAATTGTGGAGCTTTTACGGGTCTTCAAGCCCAATATATGAATATAACCCGAAACTTTAATGGACATTATTTTGAGGCTGAACTAAACCCTTAACCCATTACTTAACTAGTAAAGTATGAATTAGTACCTCTGGTTCAAGAAATAAATTAATTAATCTTTCTAGTTTTAAAAAATAATTATGGAATCCCTTATCAGTGTTGATTTTGCTTAATTCAATAATATATATGTCAAAAAAAAAAAAAGATTGGAACATAAATTTGATTAAAAAATAATAATTAATTCTTTAAATAAAAAAAATAGTAATTTACTTATTTTTCATTACTGGAGGGACTAATTTATAATTACTCCATTACTTACCCATTGTGTTTTCAACAATTCCTTAAAAAAGCTACTCTATTCAACAATTCGTTAAAAAAGCTGCTCTATTATGAATTTTGTCGAATTACTAATTTTATTTTCAATTTGATCTTCTTAAGTATAATTTTTTAAAAAATTAAAAATTTATCTCAACTAATTTAAAAGTCTTTTTCATTACCTAAGTCACTATCATCAACTTTCTTTTTCATTCATGTTAACATTATCATTTATCCTACCATCTCCACCTTTCTCAATCCTTATTGAGTAATATCTTCTTTCATTTTGACAATTAAATAAAAATTCAAGATGCAAATAATAAACTCTAATAAGTTTAGACTTAGTTAATGAGCAAAATAGTCATTATATAGTGAATAAATTGTTATGCGTAAAACTCATGATCAATCTATTTTCTTTGTTGTACACATGATCCAATTAGGAATTGTAATTTTTGTACCAATATCATTGGTCGGCTTGTTAATTATTTATTAGCTACTACGGTTTATAAACTGTTAGGAAATCACGTAAAACATTGTGTTAAATTGAATTTCTCTCCTCTCTTACGTTTATTTCTCTCTTTAGTTATGTTCTTCTGTTCTTACATCTTTCTTCTTGAATAATTCTAAATAATTTTTTCTATTCTTAAATTGCATTGTATCAATTGATAGGATAGCAATTCTTAGAACCTATGGAAACTTGAATTTTGTATAAATTGAATCAATTCTACTACAAATTAGGCAAACTAGTATCCATGGTAGAAACCCTAATTAGGTCTTTCACCATTTTTAAGTTGAATGAAAGAAGTTATGCTAATGATTTTAATTTTTAGTTTAATTGGTACATAGTATGGAGAAATCAATTGCAAGAAGCCAAATCATTACAATTGATGAGGTTGGTAGGAAATCCTCTTCTATTTGGAAAATAAATAAAGAAAAGAAAACATTGAGTCATTGATAATGAAAACCAAAGAATCGAATATTAGTTAGATGAAAACAATAGAGAAATCGATTCACATCATTAAAGAAGGGCTTAAATAAATTGTTAAACTCTTAAAATAGCTTCCAATTATGGAGAATGAGAATACTCTTGCAAATGATTTTTATAAGTCTTCAATTATTTCCAATAATCAAGAATTAGGTCAAAATAAATAGGTATTACTTACTACTTTTGATTTGATTAATTGTGTGGGTTTTGATTAAATATAGAATTAAGATGATCATTGCTCTAACTTCATTGGTAAAAATCAGAAATTGGATGGGCTTTCTTTAAAAAGTGATTTCATTGGATTTGGTATGGAAATTTTTTTTTATTGAAACTCAATTATAAGAATTCTTAGAAACTGAACATTCTATTAAGAATACAATTGTTGAGGGTTCGTTGGTACAACATTAAAAAAAAAAAAAAGGTATGTTGTTAAAGATAGTGATGATGTAAGTTTTAATACTCAAAGATAAAATCTTTTTGGTACTAAATGACTAATTTTGGTGAGTTCACAAAATGTCCGAGCACTTTAAAGCATGGGAATTATGTTGCTAGGTTGCAAGTTATTATAATTGAGATAACATATAGCATGAAAAGCTCTCCATGGGTAAAAAGAGATTAATTTATTTAAAGGGCACGATAGATATGGAGCTATATTAGTGTGTGGTTTCAACGACAATATCGAGTGGCATTGGTTGATCTTGAATTTTTAGATTTTAGAGATGTTGTACTAGAAAAAAAAATCTTGTCTAGCTTTAAAAAAAGGTTTATAAGTTTATGGATAAGAGTGGAAAATAGAGGTGTTTTTTAGTTTCCTATTCAAATTCAAGTCATAAATATGCAAAGGTTGAAATTTTAGAAAGAAAAGGACTAATCTCCATTGCTAATTTTGGCTTAATGAATTGCAATGTCTTGAACTTGTATATAAGCCCAATAATGATAATGGATATCCTTGAGCAATATTGGCCTTCTAGTGTACTATGCGGATGGTTCGCAAGATTTTCATTAGTTTTTAGTGGAGAAATAAGGCAAATAATCGAGTTCCATCTATTCTTTCATATGTGGTTAGACACCCTAAATTTTTTACTTTCAAGGATGTTAGTTTATATTAGTGTAAATGCCTTAGATCCAATCTTGTTTGGATGATTTGATTTATTATAATGTTTCATTTTTATTTATTAATAAAAGAAGTATTTTTATTAATTCTTTTTGTTTAAAATTTGATAGAATTAGATAGAAGTCCATATGATGTTCATTGCATTAATGATTGATCGAAAGATGTGAGACAAACATGAATGTATTTCAATGATACCATTGAATGTCCCAAGTCATAACATTATCAAGAATGGACATTAACTATATACGGTAAGAATTGTGAGTGATATGCTTATGCTATAAGATAGTATTAGAATGCTATAATATAGCGATAGAAGATCTCACACTTGTTAGCATGGTGATGCCAAAGCAAATGCTTAAGTGATTAATGTTAAAAAACATATCCGGTTCTCTCATTAGAAGATTGGTATATTTTGACTCTCGTTTTAATGGGCTCGATCAAGAGTCTGCATGTGGATAATTCATTGGATGCATTAGAAATCTAATAAAGATGGGTCGATGACTAAGATAGGACATATCATTCCTTGTATGATAAAGGAGTTATCACATTGCATTTTGATAAATGTCTACTCAAGAAATATATGATCATAATAGGAGTGTATCAATAAAGTATAGTTGGTTACTTTTAAACTAAGGCATTTGAGAATCAAAGAAAACTTATGTGATCATAATCGAACGGACTATAAACCAAATTCGAGATCACACTATGATAAATTAACTTAAGGACTCGAATTTCATGGTAACCATAGTCGTGAAAGGTAATTATAGATTAATTAATCCTCCTAGAGAATTAAGTAGTCATGACGCCTTGCTAAAGATCAATCTTGATTTATGTATCAAGAGATAAAAGATGTGTCTTTTATTCTTAATTCATTGTCAACATATCTAAGAGCCTATTAAGTCACATACATAAGTTTAAACATTCACACAATAAAAAAGAAGCAAAGATTTTAGAAAATGTTTCTTGTTTTGGAAAGTTTCCTATTTTAGAAAAAGTTTCCTAAAATAAAAAATTTTCTATTTTGGAAAGCCAGTTTCCTAAAATTAGAAATCCTAAAATAAAATGTCAGTTTTCTATTTTAGAAATTAGTTTTCTAATTTGAAAGTCGGTTCCAAATTTGAAAGATAATTACCTAAAAAGAAAATAAGTTTCCTAATTTTAGTTTAAGGGCAATTTGAAAAATTAATTTCTAATGTGAGCTCCACTAAATACGTGACTCAATTTATTTGGATGATCCAAATTAATTGATAATTAATTAAGCTAAAAGCGTTTGAGCCAATAGGTTAATTTAAAGTCTACAAGATATTTTAGTGGAAGGATAAACTTGAGTATTATTGGATAAGGCTCGGGGTTTACAATAATAAGGTTTAACAAAGCCCACATAAGCAATATATCCTTGACCTATAAAGAGAAGTTGCCACCCCACATATGAATAGAGGTGAGAGAAGTGACAAAAGGGTGTAAATAAGAAAAGAAAAAACACACCACACGCAAAGAAAAAGAGAAAAATGTTTTCTCTTCATAACCCGTTACCTCTCTTTTGTTGCATAAAATCTTGAATTGATTTCTAAAGAAAAAAAACTAATCGGAAAAGGTGGAGCTGGCATTCAATAGTTTCGATTACTTTTTGTATGGGTGTTTAAGCTTGTGTGAATTATCGGTAGAGATCGAACACTTAGATGACTCTCTTCCGCAAAAGGTTAATTTTACGTTATAAGAGGTAATCACTCATTATTATTTTATTCATGTATGTATGATTATTGATTCAACGACATGATCTTGAAAACCTTAGATGGTTTTTTTTTATTCTACACCTACATAGGATACATGAACCGATAGTTTATTGATACATTTGAATGAGGCATTGGTCCAAAAATAAAACTAAACTTAAAGATATTTTTGTTAGAGCTTCGATGTAATGCTATAAAATTGAATTTAAAAGAGTTTGCATTGGAGTCAATAATGGTTGCTTTTACAAGAATGTATAATTGGTTAATTAATTTAAATTATGATGATATTCCGAATGTTTCTATTACATAAGATAAAGATAACGCTAAAACGTGGCTTTAATAAAGCTATTGTTGTAGTTTTTGACTAGCAATTGATTTCTTTCAAACTTATCATCTCCCTATTGTACTATTTCCAATAAATCTTTAAAGTATAGGTGTGAAATCTATTCCATGAAGTGAAAAATATGATTCAATTACTATCTTTATATTGAAATTTATGGGTAAGGCTCTTAAAAGGGAAGGCAATGTCATTAAGAAGGGTGAAAATCAATAAAAGTTCTCTTAGTTTGCATATTTGAAAATAGAACTAATAATCTTAGGGATATTGGAATGGGATCGAGTTTTCTCTAGGTACTTGAATGATGAATGTTTTATTCTAAAAGCACAATTTTATGGGGAAAAAAAGGTATAACGACAAGAAAAAGACATAAGGATAATCCCAAAATAGTG